TCCTTGGTGAATTCGTACTTTGGAACATACGGATCCGACCTCTTTCTCTTTTGGAATTGTTGTCCGGGTGGCTCTGCCGCCCAGACCTCTTTTCGCTTCTTTTCTTCCCTTTTGGCCGGCTGGGTGGGCCGGCTCTCTCTTTTATCGGATCTTTTGTAATCCGTTGGAAGTTTAACAGCGCAAAGTTCCATTGCTTGGATGTAAGCCTCCGCCTTCATTAATGCCTCGTGAAGAGTAGAGACCCTCTTCCTTACCAGGTCAAACTTAAAAGTTGACCCGTCTTTTAGGCCTTTGAAGAAGTCAGTATAGGCAACATCATCAGACAACCCCTGGATTTGGATCCTCATCAGGTTAAACCGCCTGACATATGACCGGAGCCCCTCCTTATCTCCCTACTGTATTGCCCCCAGATCAAGGCTTATTTTCTTAGCAGGGATATTCATAGAGAAGTTGGACGTGAACCAGTTGGCCAACGTTCTAAAGTTATTGATGCATCCGGCAGGTAAGTTACCAAACCAACGTTGAGCAATCCCTTTCAATGTTGCCGGGAAGCACCGACACCATGAGGCATCATCCAAACCCTGCAAATACATCAGGTTGGTGTATGCCATGAGTTGATCTTCCGGGTTGGTGGTACCGTCATAGGCACCAACCAACACGTTTTTAATTTTTGACGGCTGGGCCATCTCGGTGATTTTCCTGGAAAACGCCGTTGGCTGTTCCCCAAAGTTGAACAGCAGGAGCTGCCAATCCATAGGCTGGACAGGCGGCTGCTGCTGACCCCCGAAAAGACCCGGCTGCGAGTAAGGAGATCCAAAAGGCGTGTATGGTGACCCATGTAATGCCGGTTGGATGATATGAGGGCCGGATCGAGCGGAAACCTCGCTCGACTGGCTGTCATGGTTTGTTCTCGAGTGCCTTCTTGATGTGACATGGAAGCTGTCTCGAAAGGTCGACGTTGATGCCGACTCAGAGCGCTGCTGAGTCTTTTTATCTTGGATGAGCGTCCGAGCATCAGAATAGACTTTCTTCGTTCCATCCGGCTGTATGTGCCGGAAGGGTTTTCTGGCTCCCTTCATGGGAGTGCGAATTTTTGAGCAATCAATGGGCCTAACCGGCACCTTTGACTTCGGGTGTGGGGTAGACGCTCTACCTTTCACTGTCTTGGCCGTCTTTTTTCCAAGACGCCTCTCTTCCGCCTCTTCCGCCTGACCCTTACGGGGGCCGGCTGAGTTATCCAGAAGGCCTTTGATTTCCCCTTTAAAACTCATCATCATACTTATGAGTTCATCCCTGGAGACTGGGGTGGCTCCTTTTGAAGCAGGAGTTAACCCAAGCGGTCCCCTGGTGGGATGGCTTTGGCCTGCCTGCTGCTCTGCCCGTTCCCTTTTGTCTTTGGAACGAGTATGCTTGGTTATAAAAGAACCGTCGGCAGCTGTGTAAGTTTCCACCTCATAATTGTCGGCTGTATCTTGGTTCGAATGGACCTCAGCCTCAACAGCAGGTTGAGTACCTTTCCTCGGTAGTACAGGTTCTGAAGTCATCTAAAAAGTACCCTCCCCACAGACGGCGCCAGATGTTTGGGGGTTTTTTATGTGTCCTACGGGAGAGTTACAATTTCCTAGTATGCTCCTTCCTTCGCCTGTACCTGCACAAATAACGGAGACTCCGGCTGGGGGGTGGGAGTTTCGCCTCCGAAAATTAAGTTAGAACCTTTCTAAAGAGGAAATAAGAACAATAAATGCTTCTCGATTGGAGAGCGTTTTGCAATGGGTTTTGTGTTTGGTTGGTTGTTGGAGAATATTCTCGATCCCCATCAATGAGGTCTGCCCTTACTATTTATAGTAGGGGAGAGCTGTACCTCAATTAGGGTACAATGACACGTGTCGCAAAGGGATTCGGCCCTTGCTGACCGTTGCAAGCTTGACACGTGGCAAGCCTTTATAGGGCCACGTGTCTTAGGGGTATTTTTACCCTAAACACTAGTGATAGTGCAGCTTGGAAACACCTCGATAGTTGCTTTCCAGAGTTTGCCTCCGAGCCTCGTAATGTTCGCCTAGGCTTGTGTATAGATGGTTTTGCTCCTCATGGTATGTTTGGGGGACAATATTCTTGTTGGCCTGTCATTTTGACCCCTTATAACCTGCCTCCCTCAATGTGTATGAAAAGACAATTCATGTTCCTTTCGTGGCTCGTTCCTGGTCCTAAAAACCCTAAGGGAAACTTGGATGTGTACATGCAACCGTTGATAGAGGAGTTGAAACAGTTATGGGAAGTTGGCGCTAATACCTACGATATTTCGATGAAACAAAATTTCAATCTTCGATCAACCATCATATGGACTGTTAGTGACTTCCCGGCTTATGGTATGTTGTTCGGTTGGGCCACATCTGGTAAGAAGGCTTGTCCATATTGCATGGAGAAAAGCAAAACATTTTGCCTCGAACATGGTGGAAAAGTTTCTTGGTTCGATTGCCACCGCCAATTCTTTTCGACGGATCACCTTTTTCGGAATAGTAGAACTCATTCTGCAAAAACAAAGTCGAAAAAGGTGCAACTCCACACATCATGTCAAGAGAGGAACTGTGGGAATGTGTGAAAGACCTTCCGAAGGCTACTGATGAGCCCGAGGCACTTAAACGCCTCAAAAAAGCAAAAAAGGGGTGGTTCAAGCAAAACACACTGTGGGAGCTTCCATATTGGAAGCATCTGCTCATTCGTCACAACTTAGATGTCATGCACATTGAAAAGAACTTCCTTGATAAATTAATTCACACTATAATGGATGTGAAAAGCATACGTGTGACACGCCATCAGCTCGAAATGACATTGCCAAATATTGTAAACGTCCGCAGCTTCATCTTCAGGAGGATGACAGAGGAAAAGAGTTCATGCCAAAGGCTCTATTCGCTCTTGACAAGGCTCAGAGAAAAGTTTTGTGTGAATGGGTTAAACAACTGAGGTTTCCTGATGGTTACGCCTCCAATTTGAGCAGATGCATAGATTTGCAAGCATGTAAGCTACTTGGAATGAAAAGCCATGACTGTCACGTGTTCATGGAGAGGTTATTGCCTACTGCTTTGAGGGAATTGCTCCCTTGTCATGTTTGGAATGTAGTTACAGAGATCAACTAATTCTTCCGCGATTTGTGTTGCTATACAACATCAGTTAGTGACATGGAACGATTGGAGAAAAACATAGCTGAGATCCTTTGCAAGCTTGAGAAGGTCTTCCCTCCTACATTCTTCAACTCCATGGAGCATTTACCTATTCATTTACCATACGAGGGGAAGTTATGTGGTCCTGTACAATATAGATGGATGTATCCTTTCGAAAGGTAAATCAAAGACCCTTGCACATCCTATTTTTTACATCTCGACCCACACTGTCGTGACTTGTTCATACATTTATATAAGTGTAATTGCAGGTTCCTTAATCATTTGAAACGAAAAATTGGGAACAAGGCTCGAGTTGAAGGATCCATATGCAATGCTTATCTCACTGAAGAGATTGCAAACTTCTGCTCTAATTACTTTCAGGCAAAAGTTGACACTAAAACACGAGATCTCGGTCGAAATGTGAATGCCGACGTGGACTCCACAGTGGACGACACTGAAATTCCAGAGTTGTTCACAGTGGATAGCGGTCGTGTGTCAAATGAGGGTAAAACTCGGTTTTTTAGATGAAAAAGAATTCGAGTGTGCTCATTTGTTTGTGTTACAAAACACCGACATCCTTGGTGAATACGAAAGGTATAATACGTTTAGGAATGAAGTGTATTCAAAGTTATGAACAACTAAAATGGTTACATTGTTGATTTACATTGTGTCTTTTGTCTAGTAGGAAGTTTGAGGACTACATTCTTAGTACTCGACCTTATCTGCGTAGAGCAGAAGTCATGGAGAAATGCGAAGCTGAATTCTCTGATTGGTTTAATCACAAGGTGATATAAACGGTCTAACCGTGACATAATTATGATTTTCTATTCCTTGCAATTCAATTTATTCAATTAGGGAAAAGTGACGTTTATATTCAAAACGTTGTTAGGTGGTAGAAGAGAAACCAAATTCGGATGTCCTGCGAGTGTTGTGCATGCGTCCTTTCAAGCGTGTTTGAACTTAGAGGCAGATTTTTGTCGGTGGATTTAATTTCCATACACATGCCCATGGCAAGCACAAATCTACGATGAATTATGGTGTGTGTGTATCAAGTGAGGATGGTGGAGAGTAATTTGGCATTTTAGACGACATTATTGAAATTGTCTACACTGGTCCCAAAAAAGAGTACCACTACTAGAAAACAGCTGATTTACGAGGGAAATATTACGTCGGTAAACCTTGAAAATCCGTCGGAAAGTCCAGTTTCCGACGGAAATCCGTCGGAACACGCTGTCGGAGACCCCTTTGTAGGAAATTTGGGTTATACCGAGGGATTTTCCGTTGGAAACTTACTTACAGACGGAATTTCCGACGGATTTTAGTTTCTCGGAACCGTATTTTGACCAGAATTGGAGGTCCGTCGCAACCTTCCGACGGAACAGAATCCCTCGGAATATTCCCCTGTTCCGACGAAAATTTCCGTCGGAAGGCCCCACCTTTCCGAGGGAATTTTCCGTCGGAAGAGGTGAAAGTTACAAGGGATTTATTCTGTCGGAAGGTTCCGAGGGATTACTATTCCGTCGGAAGATCCCCTTTTCCGAGGGATTATAATTCCGTCGGAAGGTCCCCTTTTCCGAGGGAATACAATTCCGTCGGAAGGTCTCCTTTTCCGAGGGATTACAATTCCGTCGGAAGGTCTCCTTTTCCGAGGGATTACAATTCCGTCGGAACTTTTCTTCTTTGCGACGGAATAAATCTCTATTTTGGCTATATATTTTCCTCCGGGACAAACCTGTAATTCTTGCCTCTTATATTATATTACTCACTGAATAATTTGTGCAAACATATATATATATATATATATATATATATATATATATATATATATATATAGATACTAATTCCAATGTTTACAATAATCACTAAGTTAATATAAAATTAGAACTAACAAACACTAAGTTCATCAATGCTATACAACAGCGCGAGAGGCCTGGCCAGCTCCACCAAAACCCGGGTCGTCGTCCCTGGGATCTCGAAATGGAGGTCGCACGTTGGAACATGAGTCATTGGCGTAACGACCCATCATCCTTTCTTCCAGCCTCTTCTCCATTTCTTCAATTTGGGCTTGTAGTTGGGCTTGAACTCGGGCTTCCATATCGTCTTCCATTTGTTCCCGAAGAGCTTGGACCCTGGATTCCATCTGATCCTGCATCTTAGAAACAAAGGAGGGCGTGTGTATGGAAAGTCGGCGACCTATCTGGCTGCCATAGTACATGTCAGCACTTTCGCCTAGTCCCTTCACACGTCCTTTTTTGTTCCGACCACCCACTATCTCCCAGTACAGCTCATTCGGACTCTTCTGAGTCCTTTGAGTGCTAGCCGCCTCAACCCTCTTCTGGTAGGCCTCCTACAAGATAAACATATAAAAGGGAACAAACGAGGTAGTAAGTTATACAAATAAGCTAAACCAAATTGAGCCAACTATGGCCAGTATGACCTATTCTTTGCCCATTTTTTATGTTTTTGACCAAATGAACAATTTATTTCTCTAAACATGCATATTTTAGGTATTGTAAGGGGTACAGGCCTTGAAATCACAAAAAACTACAAGTCCCTAAGGTTTGGGACGCATTTTGAGCCAAATGGAGCCAACTATGGCCTGTATGACCTATTCTTTGCCCATTTTCTATGTTTTTGACCAAATGAACTATTTTTTTCTCTAAACATCTCTATTACAGGTATTCTAAGGGGTACATGCCTTGAAATGCCAAAAAAATACAACTCCCTAAGGTTTGAGACGCATTTTGGAGCCAAATTGAGCCAACTATGGCCTATATGACCTATTATTTGCCCATTTTCTATGTTTTTGACCAAATGAACATTTTTTTCACTAAACATCTCTATTACAGGTAGTCTAAGGGGTAAATGCCTTGAAATTCCAAAAAAATACAACTCCCTAAGGTTTGAGACGCATTTTGGAGCCAAAATGAACCAACTAAGGCCTGTATGACCTATTCTTTGCCCATTTTCTATGTTTTTGACCAAATGAACAATTTTTTTCACTAAACATCTCTATTACAGGTAGTCTAAGGGGTACATGCCTTGAAATGCCAAAAAAATACAACTCCCTAAGGTTTGAGACGCATTTTGGAGCCAAAATGAACCAACTAAGGCTTGTATGACCTATTCTTTGCCCATTTTCTATGTTTTTGACCAAATGAACTATTTTTTTATCTAAACATCTATATTACAGGTAGTCTAAGGGGTAAATGCCTTGAAATGCCAAAAAAATACAACTCCCTAAGGTTTGGGACGCATTTTGGAGCCAAAATGAACCAACTAAGGCATGTATGACCTATTCTTTGCCCATTTTCTACGTTTTTGACCAAATGAACTATTTTTTTCTCTAAACATCTCTATTACAGGTAGTCTAAGGGGTACATGCCTTGAAATGCCAAAAAAATACAACTCCCTAAGGTTTGAGACGCATTTTGGAGCCAAAATGAACCAACTAAGGCCTGTATGACCTATTCTTTGCCCATTTTCTATGTTTTTGACCAAATGAACTATTTTTTTCTCTAAACATCTCTATTACAGGTATTCTAAGGGGTACATGCCTTTAAATGCCAAAAAAATACAACTCCCTAAGGTTTGGGACGCATTTTGGAGCCAAATTGAGCCAACTATGGCCTATATGACCTATTATTTGCCCATTTTCTACGTTTTCGACCAAATGACCTATTTCTTTCTCATAACATGTCTATTATAGGTATTCTAAGGGTTTCATGACTTGAAATCACAAAAAACTACAAGTCCCTACGTTTTGGGACGCATTTGGAGCGAAATTGAACCAACTATAACGTATATGACCTATTATTTACCCATTTACTACGTTTTCGACCAAATGACCTATTTCTTTCTCATAACATGTCTATCATAGGTATTCTAAGGGGTACATACCTTGAAATCACATATAACAACAACTCCCTAAGTTTTGGGACGTATTTGGAGCCAAATTGAACCAACTATGACCTATATGACCTATTATTTACCCATTTACTACGTTTTCGACCAAATGACCTATTTCTTTCTCATAACATGTCTATTATAGGTATTCTAAGGGGTTCATGACTTGAAATCACAAAAAACTACAAGTCCCTACGTTTTGGGACGCATTTGGAGCCAAATTGAACCAACTATGACGTATATGACCTATTATTTACCCATTTACTACGTTTTCGACCAAATGACCTATTTCTTTCTCATAACATGTCTATTATAGGTATTCTAAGGGGTTCATGACTTGAAATCACAAATAACAACAACTCCCTACGTTTAAGGACGCATTTGTAGCCAAATTGAACCAACTATGACGTATATGACCTATTATTTACCCATTTACTACGTTTTTGACCAAATGACCTATTTCTTTATCTACACCTATTCATGAATAATGAACCAAGGAAAAAAGTTTAGGGAATTTGTTACCGCAATTTGCTGAGCTGTGGGGTTTATTGGCACTGTGCCTTTCCCAGGCAGCTCCTTGAAGTGTGTCTTCAGAAATAGCTCAGGAGCTGTTGGTAGCTGGCCCTTGTTCTTCGCCGCCTTTGATACAAAAAAATAGGAATAATCGTTAACCATGTCAAACCCTTGTTACATTAAAATAGACAAATATGTCTTGTAATATAAGATATTTTTAAATAAACTTACCATCCTTTTTGCATGTTGGGTAGCTGCCAACGAACCCTGAAAGTGGGTCCCTCGGACGGGATTTTCCATAGATCCGCCCCTTCTGTTCTGCGCCGACCTCTCCTTGTAAGTTGGGTCGCTATCCACAATGTCCATCATCTCCTTGTGGATCTCCGCACTCAACCAACTTGGCCTGGCGCCTTTCATCTTGTGCGTGATGGTGTGGAACATGTCACGCAGGCGTGTGGCTACCCTCCTCCGAAATGTGATCTTCACTAGCTCGTCCATCTGAGGTGCCCATCTGTATTGTGCCTGCAAATGATAAAATACAAAAGTTATACACAAAACTAAATCAACACAATAGCTAAAACATGTATTAACCAAGACCCAAAAATATCATACGCTGAACAAGTTCCACCAGTGTTCCTTCGTAGCTGGAGGCACTTCGGAGAAGTTCCTCCAAGGGGCTCGGTAGTATCCAGTAATCGTACCGGATACCGCACTCCGAACCTTATGATCATCAAACCTATAACAAACGGGAAACAACAATGTTAAACAAATTCGAAATATGTAATATAAGCCTTGTATCTGATCATCCATATCATGATATTTACTTATCACAGCGTAGTAGGGTCCAAAAACGGGAGCTGTGACTCATCCTGTGGCTCGTCCTCTGACTCATCCCGTGGCCCATCTTCTACAGGAGTGGATGGGGACGTCTGATCCTCACCCAAATCGGCTGCCTCCGCATCGAACATCTCCTCATCCTGGTCGTCGATGAACAGGGCGCGGGCGGTCTCTTTCTCTTTCCCCTTTGCTTTCTTCGACGACTGCCCACTTTTTCCACCCGCCATGACTACCTGAATCAGATGTTAGTAAAATGACAAGATATTATAAATAAGGAGTGCAGTGCAACATAATATGGCTTTTATACAAACACTAAAAAGTTTTACATAAGCCTCATTAATATTTTGAATTTTACAATGAGAAGCATACGTTTAAAGGAGATAAACATTTTCTCCTATTCAGTACTCTCATCACTACTTTCACTACTAGAGTCATCACTACTATCATCTACACAGCTCACGCATATGTACAATCACATTAGTCATGAACGGTATTTCGCAGTCATTATCCACCACAGCGTTATGGAAATGCAAATGAGATTTGAAATGCTTCCAAAGGGTCCTTATCACTCCAACCTAACCCATCCTTGTACGTTTATTCTGACTAGTGAATGTAACCCAGGTTTTCAATTCTATGGAAAATCCGCCAGCATTTCCCTACAGTTCTCCAAGTACACGATGTAGGCGATTATACACACCTACATATGTACCCAGAGAACACGGTAGAGAAATGCATGAAAAGGCAGGATTTTCCCTAGAATAAAAAACAAGGCTTACATTCACCACCTAAGTGAGAATAAGCGTACAAGGACAGTCCCAACCGGGGACTATTCAAGACATACTCCTAATGTGTATGCCTTGAACGGGTATCTAGGCATATGATTATGCAAATGATTCATTTATTATAATATATATAAAGTGAAGAACACATGCATTAAACTAAACAGAGACATATCATAATTAAAGTAAACTAAGCAAATAAATAAGCAGGCTTATTAAAGATTGTATTAAACATTATATCAAACATAAAAATTAAACTACATACACTAACATACACTTTATTAACCAAAACTAAACCAAATTTAAATAAACTAAACTAAATATAAACAAACATACATATATTATTATATTCAACTAAACTAAAGAAAAACTAACATGTTATAATACAATAATTTAAAACTAAACTTAAATAAACAAAACTAAACTAAATTTAAAACTAAACTTAAATAAACTAACATACTTTATTATATTAAACTTAACTAAACTAAAATAACATGTTATAATACAACAATTATAAACTAAACTTAAATAAAATAGACTAAACTAACATTTCATAACACAAACACATTCCATTCAAACATTTAAACATATAAATACACTACACTAATAACAATAATAAACTACAATTTTTAATACAATAATAAACGCTTTTATATGCTCTCTAACCTGTAGATCTGCCCTTGTTAATGCCAAAGAACCGATTATATCTACAAATCCTACAAATAATTCAAATTAAAAACTTAGTAACTAAGTTTATGCTTGCAATTTAAAATGAATAAATGTCAAAAATTAAAAAAAAATGCCCAAAAAATGGGAATACTACCTGTTGTAGGCGGCAACAGGGCGTTGTTTGTGGTTGTTGACCGGCGGCCGGCTGGTGTTCAAGGCTGGTGTTCACATCCGAGGTTAGTAAAACTCGTTAAAAAAAAAAAGAAAAAAAAAACTGAAAAAAACCCCAAAAACAGTGAATTTTTTAAAAAAAAAAACACAAAACAAACACCACTTACCACTATTCAACGCCGCCGACTTTGACTCTTGGTGGTTGTGACCCAAATCGGCGGTGGGTGTGGTTATTTCCGGTGAACCTAGGTGAAATGGTGGTGGTGGTTAGGGTTTTTAGGAAAAAAGACCAAAAGAAAAATTACAAAAAAACCTAAAATCAAAACTTACCGGCGGCGACCTAGCGGTGGGGTGGTGGTGGTGGTGACCGTGTTCTTTCTCCCTCTTCCTCTTTCTCCTTCTCCCTTTCTCTCTCTTCTTCTTTCTCTTCCTGTGTCGCCTTCTCTCTCTTCCTCTCGTGTTTTTTTTCTTTCTGTGTTCTGTACAGGGTTGCGTTTTTTTTTTTATTTTTTTCGCAGTTTCCGACAGAAATTATTCCCTCGGAAATCCGTCGGAACCTGTGATTTCCGAGGGAATAATTTCCGTCGGAAACCACTTCGAGGGAATATTCCGTCGTAACCCAAATATTCCGAGGGAATAAAATTCCGTCAGAAAATTTCCGAGGGAATATTCCGTCGGTAAGGACATTTTCCGACGGATTATTCCTACAAAGTCAATTTCCCTCGGAAATTTTGAATTTTCCGAGGGAATTAAATTCCGTCGGAAGCATTCCCTCGGAAATAAGCCTATTTCTAGTAGTGTACAAGAGTATTTTGTTTAAGTGCAGTTGGATGGATTGTGGAAGGGGAATGAACATACATGAACAATACAAGCTTGTCGAAGTCAATCATACTAAGAAATACCCCAAGTACGATCCCTTTGTATTATCTTACCAAGTGACTCAAGTGTACTACGCATCATACCCTAGCCTGAAACGGGATCGAGTTCAATGGTGGGCTGTTTTTAAAACACAAGCAAGGTCAGTGGTTGATGCTCCGATGGACTTAGAGTTTTTGCAGGCACCATCCCCACAAGTACATGCAACGCTTTGCCCACCGAATGACATTCCAGGCTACGTCCTAGATGATGATGATGAAGATGATGACGATGGCTTTGTTATCTCAAGCGAGGAAGATGATGGATCTAGCATCGACTCTAGTGATCATGACGAGGATGAGAACATCGATGTATTATTAGATGACAGTAGTGATGATTCCAGTAATGATAGTAGAGATGACAGTAATGAATAGGAGAATATGTTAATCTTCGTTGGTGAATTTGTTTGGTATTGTAAAATCAAAATATGACTTGGTCTTTTTAATAAATCATTACGTTTACGCTGAAAATTTATTACATTGCACTATACTTGTAATTTATAATATCATGTCATGTTACTAAGAACTATTTTAGGTGATCATGGCGGGCGCTAACGATGGGGAATCGTCGAAGAAATCGAGGGTGAAAGGTAAAGGTGCAATGGTGATCGACTCCTCCGACGAGGAAATGGCGGACGCGGATGCACATGAATTGGGTGACACTGTGGAGCCTGCTTTCAGCCAACCAGGAGATGAGACACAGCAGGATTCAAAGTTGCCGGTGTTAGACCCTACTATGCTCTGGTATGTACATACATTTAATGAATTGGAGTTATATTCTTAATTTCGAAAAATTTACCTATTTATTACTTCCAACAAGTTCTATATTACTTTTTGTTGATGATCATCTAACATTGTGGTTTCTCGTTTAATGTAGGTTTGACGATAACAAGGTGAGGAGTGCGGTCTACGGGACGCTAACTGGGTACTATCGAGCTCCTTGGAGGAATTATGGAGAGGTTGATCAAGGAACGAAACAACACTAGTGGAACTTATTCTCCGTATGCTATTTTTAACTTAGTTAATACATGTTTTATGAAGTGTATGAGATGGAGTTGAGTTTCTAACTAATAAAGTTTATCATTCGCAGAAACAATTCACATGGGCACCTCCATTGAACGAGCTTGTGAAGGTCAATTTTGAAAAGAAGCTTGCAACTCGCCTACGTGACATGTTCTACACAGTCACACACAAGATGAATGGCGCGAAACCAGGCTAGCTCATTGAGGAAGTCCACAAGAAGATGATGGGCATTGTTGCCTCGGATCCGACGTATAAGAAGAGGTCGGCCCAGAATAGGAAGAATAGAAGGGGTGGTTCGATGGAAAATGTGGTCGAACCAAACCACTATCAGGGTTCTATGTCAGCTGTCCAACATGCAAAAAGGATGGTAAGTTTGTTTAATAGGCAAGTAAAATAGAAAGCATTTGTTTATTTCAAGCTAATGGAGGTGTGACATTTATAAAGATACTTTCTGCATGTATAATCAAAGGCGGCGAAGAATAAAGGTCAGCTACCCACAGCTCCTGAGCTTTTTCTGAAGACGCACTTCAAGGATGTGCTTGGGAAAGGCACAGTGCCAGTCAACACCAAAGCTAAGCAAATTGCGGTAACATCTTCAATATAACATAGATGAATTTGGTTAAAAATGTTTCCTAGAACTTAGTTACTTGATTTTTTTTTGTGTTTTCAAGTCATGGATACCTAAAACCACCTATAATTGACATGTTTTGAGAAAGAAAGAGTTCATTTGCTAAGAAATGAAGAAAATGGGCAAAGTAGAAGTCATCTAGGCCTTATATGGATGAATTTGGTTGAAAATGGTTCCTAGAACTTAGTTACTTGGTTTTTTTTTTGTGGTTTCAAGTCATAGATACCTAAAACTACTTTGTAATTGACATGTTTTGAGAAAGAAAGAGTTCATTTGCTAAGAAATGAAGAAAATGGGCAAAGTAGAAGTCACCTAGGCCGTATATGGATAAATTTGGTTGAAAATGGTTCCTAGAACTTAGCTACTTGGTTTTTTTTGTGGTTTCAAGTCATAGATACCTAAAACTACTTGTAATTGACATGTTTTGAGAAAGAAAGAGTTGATTTGCTAAGAAATGAAGAAAATGGGCAAAGAAGAAGTCACCTAGGCCGTATATGGATGAATTTGGTTGAAAATGGTTCCTAGAACTTAGTTACTTGGTTTTTTTTTTTGTGGTTTCAAGTCATAGATACCTAAAACTACTTGTAATTGACATGTTTTGAGAAAGAAAGAGTTCATTTGCTAAGAAATGAAGAAAATGGGCAAAGTAGAAGTCATCTAGGCCGTATATGGATGAATTTGGTTGAAAATGGTTCCTAGAACTTAGTTACTTGGTTTTTTTTTTTTGTGGTTTCAAGTCATAGATACCTAAAACTACTTGTAATTGACATGTTTTGAGAAAGAAAGAGTTTCATTTGCTAAGAAATGAAGAAAATGGGCAAAGTAGAAGTCATCTAGGCCGTATATGGATGAATTTGGTTGAAAATGGTTCCTAGAACTTAGTTACTTGGTTTTTTTTTTGTGTTTTCAAGTCATAGAAACCTAAAAATACCTAAAATTGACATGTGTTGAGAAAAAAAGAGTTCATTTGCTAAGAAATGAAGAAAATGGGCAAAGTAGAAGTCATTTAGGTCGTGTATGATTGAATTTGGTTGAAAACGGTTCCTAAAACTTAGGGAGATTTTTTTTTTTTTTTTTTTTTTTTTTTTTTTTTTTTTTTTTGTGATTTCAAGCCATGGAGGCCTAAAACCACCTATAATTGACATGTTATGAGAAAGAATGAGTTCATTTGGTAAGATATGTAGAAAATGGGCAAAGTAGAAGTCATTTATGCCTTACTTCGTTCTATTTTGTTCATAAAGCTTAATTTAACTTAAATCTGTGTTCTTTTTCATATGCATATCATGTAGGAATCTACCAGATGAAAGTTGAAGAAGCAAGCTCTCGAGGGATTTGGAAGAGTCTGAATGAGTTAAACTGGGAAACTGTGGGTGGCCGCAACAAAAAGGGTCGTGTGATGGGACTTGGCCAAAGTGTAGAGTTGTACTATGGCAACAGGTTGGGTCGAGTTTCCTCGTCTTCACAGCAGTACACACCTTCCATTGTTTCCCAGATGCAGGATCAGGTGGAGCAGAGGGTGTAGGAAATCTGGAGTCATATGGAAGACGAGATGGAAGCTCGATTTGAAGCCCGAATGGCCGCAATAGAGAGGACAAACCAGGAGAGGTGGGATGAGATGATGCGTCGATTCCCCGGCAACGACACATGTTCTACCATTCAACCTCATCCTCGAGACCCCAGGGATGACGACCCGGGTAGTGACGGTGCAGGGCAGGGTACTCCGGCTGTAGCTTGGCATTTGTATATGTATTTAGGCACGTACTTTGATTAGGATTATGTTTTACGGTTGTACACAATGTATAAATATATATATATGTGTGTGTGTGTGTGTTAATATATATGTGTGTGTGTGTGTGTGTTACACACACACACACACACACGCACGCACACACACACACACACATATATATATGTAAATATTTCGGTAATTATTCATGAATTCAATTTTATCTTGAATTAGGTGCAGGAAGTATAAGTTTCGAATGGTGGTAAATCCAAATAAAATCGATAAATTAGGTAAATTAGCAGGGCAATTTCCAACGGAATTTGTGATGATAAGCTTCGTCAGAAAAGGTATGTAGCGGCGGAAAAAAATTCCGTCGGAAAATGCCGACGAAAAATTCCATCGAAAACTCCTCGTATTCCGACGGAATATTCCGTCGGAACCTTCTCCTATTCCGACGGAATTTTCCGTCGTAGGCTTTCCCTTTTCCGACGGAAAATTCCGTCGGTAGAGGAGAGGTTTCCGACGGAATTTTCCGTCGAATCCTACCGACGGAATTTTCCATCGGAAAAGGCATATTTCCGACATATATTTTTTCGTCGGAAATTTGCGACGGATTCCCAAATCAAGTCAAACACAGCTCCGACAGAATAAATTACGTCGGAACAACCTCTTCCGACGGAAAATCCCTCGGAAAATTGTGAATTTCCTACAAAAAGTTTGGTGACAGAACCTTCTGACGGAATTTCGTCGGAAAGTTGTTTTCCGACGGAATTTTCAATGATTCCGACGGATTTTTTCCGTCGAAATTAAGCTGTTTTCTTGTAGTGTGAGCAAAAATTAATTGCTCATTTGACAGATGAGCAAAAAATTAATTGCTCATTTTGACAAATTATTTGCTCATTTTTGACGAATTAGTAAAGAATAAATATTAATTTTTGACAAAGTGAGCCAAAATTATCTGCTCATTTGACAAATAAGCATTAAATAGTTTGCTCATTTGATAAATGAGCAAAGAATTGTTTTGCAATTTTATAACCTGTAATTTTTTGTAAATATCAATGAAGAAAGATCAACTTTTAGCAAATGAGCAAATAGTTAGTTGCTTATTTGTCAAATGAGCAAATACTTAGTTGCTAATTTAACAAATGAGCGAAAACTTAGTTGCTTATTTGTCAAATAAGCAATTAATTTCTTTGCTCATTTGTGAAATGAGCAACCATTTGTTTGCTCATTTGTCAAATAAGCAAATAATTTTTATTTTTTTTTGAAGGAAATAAGCAAATAATTAGTTACTCATTTGTAAAATAAGCAAACATTTCTTTGATCATTTAATTTGGGAAATGGGCAATCAATTTTTTGCTCATTTAGCAAATGAGCAAATAGTTAGTTGCTCATTTGTCAGATGAGCAAATACTTATTTGTTAATTTAACAATTGAGCAAAAACTTAGTTGCTCATTTGTCAAATGAGCAAATAGTTAGTTGCTCATTTGTCAAATAAGCAAACATTTCTTTAATCATTCATTAAATCAACAAGCATTTCTTTGCTCATTTGTGAAATGAGCAAACATTTCTTTGCTCATTTGTGAAATGAGCAAACATTAGTTTGCTCATTTGTCAAATGAGCAAACATTTCTTTGATCATTTGGGAAATGAACAATCAATTTTTTGCTCATTTAGCAAATGAGAAAATAGTTAGTTGCTCATTTGTAACAGATATATGTCCTTTCCAATGGTAACATATGTAATCTACAGACATCACAAGGAGACAAATTAATGAAGCACATAAGATACGATGAGAAAGTTTATAATTTTAATTAATAAAGTGTCCATTACCGATGTGATGCCAAGTAACTTTTTCTGTTCCAAAATATGTTTCTTCAAATCAGATTCAATCTCCTCAATCTTTTTACTGGCAGAATCATATTCGACATCAGCTCCTTCAAGAGGAATTATATGGCCTGTACTATTAGCATCCACCCAATCGAACACATCCCTAAATTGCTTTATAATAGAACTCATGTTGGGGAGACCTTTGCCTGCAAATTACATGCTATGAATATCAGCACGGCATATAAAATAATCAAAATACAGGAGCATCAACATGATAATTAAGACAGTACCAGGAACTAAAAGATTGGATATTCTTTAATCATTCATTAAATCAACAAGTATTTCTTTGCTCATTTCATCCACATGAGCAATCAACAAGCATATGATATTCTTGTAATAAGCAGAGTATCATCCACATTCATTCAAAAATCTCAATAATAACACAATGGAGTTATAGGAAGCCGACTCACAGATTCGCCACATAAGTTCATGTAGGTCTGAGGTTGTTTGTCCACTTACCTCCATTAGCACAGATTAGACCCTCCCATTTAGGCTAAATTTTATTCTTGAAACAGTGAAAATCTGCCCCTACGGCCAATTTGCTTGGATGGCGTACGTTGTTGAAATGGGGAAAAAAAAGAGTAAGCGAACTAGCATTTAGGATATATCTTAATCATATAATTAGAAAGAACAAAACTTTAAAAGTCTACAACATATTCAAATTGTTGCTAACTCTTGTACTAAATAAAAATTTCAAACTAAAGTTCAGATTTCTCAATATCATTCTAATATGCCACATGCCGAGAGTAAAGACATAAGATAATTCTGTATAACCTACGACATGAACTACTTCGCAATTTTACACAGGGAAGAAAAAGGCATTAATTAGATTACACTCATTCTATGGAAGTAGACAGGGCTGGCAGGCCATAAGCTCTTAAATCTCATGAATTGGCCCTTTCTATCCAGCATATTTTTTGGCTTTGAAATTGTAGTTGATAGTTGACAACATATTTGATGCTTAGATCTCACCTTACTTGTGTAATTAAAACTTTCAGGAAGCTTATGTAAAAGCATTAGGACGGGGCTTTTCAGCTACTCCATTTAAGACCTTCTTGATTCACTTCTAAGCTTCTTCAAAAAAGATGTCTAATATTCCAGAAACTGCTGCTCTTAAGGTATTCCTTTGGATTTTCTCTGTCCATTTGATGAAGTTGATGCCCTTTGAAGTAGATTTGTAACTTCATTGACATCTTATTATATGACTGGAAAATGAAAGTTTGTAGCTTACTAACATTTCAAGAACTGATGGGGTGTTTATCTGTTTAAAACCAAATTGGACTATAATGGTCCAGTAATTTTAGTCCAGACTCGGATTGTTGGATTGTCTGGTTCCTTTAATTTATCTATCTTCAGCCAAAATCCTATCGCTACAGTGCCTTCTGAATATACCTCCTATGTTCTCAAAGGATCATAACCTATTCATCATTCATTACTCTCACATTCAGCTATTAGTTCCACAAACTCATCCCATCTTTGCTCTTAACCTCTCCCTTAATCCCTTCTGTTTGCACTAAGATGCAAACTTCAACATCTCATTCAAGTTCTTTCTCAAATGAAGATTCTGAGCATGACCACTATGATTCAAGGTCATCTTTCTTCTCTTCGCTCCCAAGCCTCCCAAGAGTTCATGGCCTTACAGTACACCCCAATCAACTAAGCCATCTTTCCAACGCCTTAAGCCAGTGCATAACCACTCTTACAGGACATGCCTCCTACATATTCTCTCTTACTTTGGTCGGAAAATAACAAATGGTTCTTCCAATATTCGAAACGAATGCTCTAATCTGTATGAAAGAGCTAAATCCTTCTCTTCCCCTAAATATTATCGTCAATAATATACCAAATGACAGTTGAAAAATTGACTCTATTAGACTATTAAACCCATAAATATCACAAGAAACCCTCACTAATCCTACCAAATGCCTCGAAAAATCAAGTTGTTCACAGAAACCATTAACCCTGATTCACAAATTCAACACTCCCGTTTTCTTAATCCAAGCATAATGATCAACAATTAGCTACGCTAATCAAGAAACTAACACAAGAAATCAAACTAAACAAAATCACACAAGAAAACCTTAGTCACCCACATAACATTTCTCCAAGAAAACGAAATCAAAACCCTAATTCAAAACCCTAATTCAATCACCCACATCACAAAAAGATTCAAACAACCAAATTCAATAAATTCACAATCAAATTAATAAAATTGAAAAACAAAGATAAAAAGAGAAACCTCCAAAATTCTTCAACAGTAGAGAAAGTATAAATGGGTCGAATAGAGCTACCCCAAGCAGCTTGTTTCGATTTAGCAATAAGATTATCAAACCAAAAAGTCCAAGCATTCTCAAGAGGATGAGTTGTTGCGATTGATTTGCTGGGTTTTTCGGCGTTTGAGTTGTTGTCGATAATCTCGCCTTCCTCCAAATCATCATCGTCTTTTCTCTAGTCTTCAATCTCAGTTGCCGCCATTGATTTCTCAAGCTTTTCTACTGTCATAGTATTGTTTCTCTCTCTAAAATCTTTCAAATTTGTTGGGATTTTCGATTTTCTGAGGAAAGATAAACTTGAACGAGGAGAGAGAAAATTGTGCGTGAAAGAGGAAGGAGGAGAGAGAAAAAACGCATTTAACCGGGATTAATTGTGGCATATATATATATGTGTATATATATATATATGTATATATATATATATATATATATATATAAATTAATTTAGAATACTTTGTATTATATAGAGTATATAATCCAAATAGAAAAACTAAAAAAAATGGAGAGACTAAAAGATGTTTTAAACATTGAAACTAGTGTAAGGCCCGGGTGTTGCATCAGGTTGCTACTTTAATTAAACTTTGTGATTATATGTATTTAATATTTTTGGTGTCTTTTTTTTCCTTTTTTAATTAGGTCTTGTGATTTTCAATTATATACATTTACTTTTATATCTATAAAATGGTTGTTAATTGGCTTAGATGGTTAAATAACCATACTTCCTAGAAGAGGTTGGGTGTTCAAATCATAATGAGAGTTTGAATAGGTGACATGGCGTAAGTGAAAGGATCTACGTGGCACATAGACTTCGTTAGGAATGTCTTTTAATATATTAGTATAGATAAATAGATAAACACAAATAATTAATCAAATTTGGTGATTCAAAAGACAATTTTAATGTTTTTGAATTCAATGGGGGCAAATATGTAAAAGAACAGTTTTAGGGATCGATATAAATGTCAATGCACTATTATAAGAGTTTTCTTAAACTTTTTATATGGTAGGGATAGGGATAGGGAATAAAGAAAATATTGTGTTTAGAGCATCTTCAATGGTAAACTAATTGTTAAATTAGCTTGTCATGCCACATATGATTTCAAGCTAACCTTCTTTATAGTTATTTTGTGCCCTAATAGTTAGCTACTAGCTTGCTAATTAAATATGCTTGACATACTCACTTTACTTTATAAATTTAATTATTTTAATATACTAATCTCTAAAAAAATTGGAAACTTTTTTCTCAAGCAAATTAGCTTGGGAAAGCTAATATGTTTTCTTAAGCTAATTGTATTTCTTAACTCCAATGGTCAAGCTAGTAGCTTTTTAAAATTACAAACAAGTCCCAACCCACGACCATTGGAGTTGCTCTTAGTTGCAACCTTAAAAAAAAATTAATAATTTCTTTAAGAAAAAAACAAAAATGAAAATTGTGCTAGCAAATTAAGATTTTAAGTACTTAAGTAGTACTTCGTATATGTTAGACAAAGATACTTGATTAAGAACAAAATGTGAAAGTTAAGGAATATCAAATGACATACTATAGGTCATGTAAATTAAATAAGGGCGGAGAGTTGTTTCTATTTGAAGTGACAAAAACCTTGTAAAAAAACATTTTCTTTCTTTTTTCAGATGGTAAAAATTGTAATTACTACACACGATTATAAATTGTAACTCTTGAGAAAATACAAGTTTCTCAACATGAGAAACATGTATTGTATCTCAAAGGGGTAGGTTTGTCATTTTCAGTCAATAAGTTGGGTAATATTGTACTCCCTCCGCTTTTAAAATACTTGCTCTATTTCTCCATGTGTGGAGTTTTAGGAGAAATTGAAGAAAGTGATAAAATATGGAGGTAGTGGAGTAAGTGGAAGAATAAAAAAATTACCAAAAGCAAAAGTAGTTGAGAGAATTGAAAGAGAGAAAATATGGAATCAATATTGTGAAAGCTTTCCAAATAAGGAAATGAAGCAAGTATTTAAAAACGGCCGGAAATGAAAAGTAGAGCAACTATTTAAAAACGGAGAGAGTAATTTTGTATGATAAATTAATTAATTCAAGCTATAATAGAGGAGCTTCAATATAGATCGGAGAACAACTTTCATGGATAAACGAAGAAGTTCAATGAAGAGATCGAACAGGAGCTTTAATGGAAGAGGATGATGCATCTACCCTTTAGGGTTAATTATGACCTTTATCATTTCTCCATTGTTTCTTAGGGTTTTCATTATATTTGGCGGCAAAGCCGCCAAAAACACGGTGGTGGAAATGGTAGTTCACGAGAGGAAAAATCGACACCTTTAATGTAATACTACTTAAAACGAAAATGGTTGGAAGAGGACAAAGAAGGATACAGATAAAGGTGGGGGGTCGCGGGATGAGATCGAAGGAAGATGATGAACTTAATTGAATTGTGGATGGAGATCTAAGGAAGAAGGACTGGAGGAAGAAGGAGATGAGGGAGTAAAATAAATATATAAAATATATAAAATTTATTTTATTTACAAACTAGATGAAGCCCGTACGATACACGGTTTGTTTGTATTTCTTAAAACAATTTTTTTTTGTATTTAAATTTTGTTATTTTATTCGTTGTACGTAGTATATCATTTAATATTTTTATTTTATAATAAATTGTGAATTTCCTCTCATTCGTTATATATTTAGATAAAATTCATAATTTCAAAAGATATTATTTTATATATAATAAATTTAAACTTTAAAATGTCATTTGCTTATGTGGCATTTAAATTCTTTAATTCTAAAAGAATTTACAAATTTCTTATTCTTTTGGCTATAACTAAAATTTATAATCCTACATGGTGCGTTAAGAAAATTTAATCCTACGTGGCTCTCTAAAAACTCGGGAAAAAACTCCCCTTAAAGTATATATATATATTTGCCATGTTTGAGAAACATTCATGTACATGTTGAGAAACTGGGGTAAGCCCGTAACTCTTTCCCCCTTTCTAACTAAAAGTCTTGTTGCATATACGAATACATACTAGTGTGTGACCCGAGCTTTGCTCTGGGTGATACTTTGTATTATTTCAATTTTTATGTTAGCTGCTTTAAAAGTCTTGTTGATTTTTTTATTATAAGTATTAGAATACAATGACAATAATAACTTATTTTGGATTGTTTTGTTTGTTTTTATTGTATATTAGAATACTTGTATGTATCCCTACCTACAAAAATCCATATTCTTATCCCTACCTTATAAAAAGTATAAGAATACTCTTCTTTTTTTGGTAAATAAAAAGTATAAGAATACTCTTATGAATAGTTTGTTGCCAATTATACCCTTCAAAATGTGCATGTACATGTTTACCTTTATTAATATTTACAAGTGTTTATTTTGCCTACATTGCCTTTTCTTTTATTTGCCTTCGTTAATGTTAATTGCTCTTTTTTTTAAAAAAAAAAAAACTATTTAGAATAGTGTGCAGACATTTATACCCCTAAAAAATAGTTGTTTACATATTTTTCCCTCATTAATGTAACGAACAACTGAAAAAGCTCCCCGAACAAGGCTAGCTATGGCACGCGCATCGCGTATGCTAGCCGCCCTAGTTAGTTTAGCCAATAATTGAAAGAGCTCCCTGGAAATGACTAATGTGCGCATTTGCCACCCTAATATGATAAAAGATAAATTAAAAAAAGGTTTTTACCCTGCATTTAATGCTAATTCATTTTTTTAAAAGTTTGGTTTTCCTGAATATTTCTCTCTCTAATATTAATTTCTCTCAAAAATAATTCAAGATTTCATTTTCAAAATTCTAAATTTCAGTTCCCAACATATTTCATTTTGTTCATATTTTTTTATACTCCGTATTTAGTTATAATATTCATCTTGATAATGGTTACTCGTACTTCTTGTGATATTCTTTGTATAATTTAATTTAATAATGTTCTATATAAAAAAATAATGTACTTTATTTGTGTTTGTAATGTACAATTAATTATTAACACTATGTTCTTTTTATATGTTCATTATTACATCATATCTTTATTAGATCTGTTGATAAACATTTTTAAATGTCCATGTCATTTGGTTGTAATTGTAATATACTTCTATTGTCACATAATGTTCATTACTTATTTGGAAATATTCTATGAATCTTGTCTTTTGATTAGGGTAAATAATATTATTAGGATTTTTAGACTTTTACCACCAAAAAAAAATACAAAATCATTTTTTACCACCAAAACTTCTAAAACTTTTATTTTACCACAAAAAAAATGTAAAAATTGTTTTTTACCACCTATCATCAAGAAATCCATTAAATCTAACGGTTTACAAAAAAAATTCTTCGATTTTCGTGCGCAAAATATGTTCTTCATAGGTTTATGGGGGCATTTTGGTCCTATAGATCCAATTTGAGGTCAGAATTGACAAAAAATGATAAAAAATGCCTCGTTTAGCGTGTTTCACGCACATCGATGTATTTTTAGTAGGAAAAACGAGCCAATTACGATCATTTTTTGTCAATTTCGACTTCAAATTGGACCCATAGGACCAAAATGCCCCCCAAAACCACTAAAGACCACGTGTTTGGCACGAAAATCGAAGAATTTAAAAAATTTCGTTAGGTTTACCATTTTTTTGACGACAAGTGGTAAAAAACAATTTTTAATTTTTTTTGTGGTGGTAAAATAAAAGTTTTACTACGTAGAAATTTTGGAGGTAAAAAACAATTTCTTGTTTTTTTTTTTTTTTTTTGGTAAAAGTAAAAAAAACCCATATTATTATCATGTTTTTTATTATTAATATTACGAATGCTCTTTAGATTTGGAAATCAATCATTAATAGAGGAGGTCACAAAAGAATATCATTATCATCGATCTTCACGATTTTGATTTCAAAAAAATTAATATATTCAATTAGATATAATTAATATAAAAAAATATAAAATAAATAAATGATATTAAAAATTAAGAGTCAAATTCAAAGAATATAATAGATAAATTCAAAGAATGTATGTAGACCCTAAACATATACAACCTTAACAAAAAAAGAACAAAAACCTTGAAGAATGTACATAAGGGATAAAAAAAGAACACAATGTTAAAACAAGTATAATACTCAAATGAACGTAAAGGTTAATAGAAACAAATATGAACATAGAAGAACATATTATTCAAATAAAAAGAACAAAATTTGTATTATTGAAACTCAAAGAACAATTTTAATTTACATACCTTAACGGACATTGTTTGTAATGTAAAGAGCATATAGTTTAAACCTAAAAAACATAGGAAAAATTGACACCATCAATCTCAACTATGACCGGTCTTTTTTAAAAGGTCGCAATCATTGATTAACTAAGGGTGGTCCTAACTTTAAGGGG